TAAACTGGAGGTCATGTAGTGTCCAAAGTAAATAGAACTTTGATGAACACTTACCTTCTAAAATAGAGGTCATGTAGTGTCCAAAGTAAATAGAACTTTGATGAACACTTACCTTCTAAAATAGAGGTCATGTAGTGCCCAAAGTAAGTAGAACTTTAGTGAACACTTACCTTCTAAAATAGAGGTTATTTTGCGTCTAGAGTAAATATAACTTTGATGAACACTTACCTTCTAAAATAGAGGTCATGTAGTGCCCAAAGTAAATAGAACTTTAGTGAACACTTACCTTCTAAAATAGAGGTTATTTTGCGTCTAGAGTAAATATAACTTTGATGAACACTTACCTTCTAAACTGGAGGTCATGTAGTGTCCAAAGTAAATAGAACTTTGGTGTACACTTATTATCTAAACTAGAGGATATGTACTGTCCGAAGTAAATAGAACTTTGGTGTACACTTATCTTCTAAACTGGAGATCATGTAGTGTCCAAAGTAAATATAACTTTGGTGTACACTTATCTTCTAAACTGGAGGTCATGTAGTGTCCAAAGTAAATATAACTTTGGTGAACCTTCTAAACTAGAGATTTTTAAAGTATAAAGTGAATACAGTTAAGGTTTAATGTTATCTTCTAAATGCGGCGTATATGTCGACCTTTGTGATTTGAGCTATGGTGTACATTTACCAGTTTTAAGGATTGGTATGTTTAGTTGTAGTTACTTATAGTTATAAGCTTAATTTTAGTTACATTTATTATCACAGTTAACTAAATATCATTGTAGTTATTTCTATAGTTAACCGAGTGGTGACGACCTTAACAAATGAAACAATACTATTTGCAGAAGTCTTCAGTAAATATATGTTCGATTTAGCTACATGACTATTTTCTGCTTTTCTGATACATTCTATTTGCATACACATGAATTTCAGTAAGACTGCTTGTCCCCCAACGCACGTGGATGTATGTCAGATAATTACTTTATATAGCTATGACGAACACTTCCCTTCTAAGCTAGACGTATATATTTTTCCAAGTGAATAGAACTATAATGTATGTTTACCTTCTAACGTAGACGTAGTATTAGGTCACAAAAGGATAGATTTATAGTGTATACGTACTTTTTAAAGTAAAGGTATTTTATGTTACAAGTGAATAGAGCTATGATGTATGTTTACCTTCTAAAGTAGACGTAGTATTAGGTCACAAAAGGATAGATTTATGGTGTATACGTACTTTCTAAAGTAAAGGCATTTTATGTTACAAGTGAATAGAGCTATGGTGTATTCTAAACAAGAAGTGAATAGAATTAAGGAACACATTTACCTTATAAATGAGATGTATTTTTGTCTGAAGTTAATAGAGCTATGTTCTACAGTTACTTCTAAACTAGGCATCATGTTTTGTTCCAAGTGAACAGGGCTATGATGTATTTTTTACTTCTAAACAAGATGTATTTGTTGTTTCAAGTAAAAAGATCTATGCTAAACATTTTTCTTCTAAGCTATTTATTTTTTGTATCTCTAGTAAATAGAGTTATCGTGTAAATTTATATTCTAAAAAGCCGTAATGTTGTGTCCTGAGTGGACAGACCGATGGTGTACACTTCCGTTATCAACTAAACTTATCTTGTGTAACAACTGAACAGAGCTTTTAGTGTACAAATACCATCTACTAGATCCAAGTTTGCGTCCCTATGTTAATATAAATATGGTACACAATTACCTTGCAAGCTAGACTTATATTATGTCCCAAGTGAACAGAGCCGTAGTTTACACTAACTTTCTGAACTATATGAATTTGGTGTTCAATGTGAACAGAGCCGTAGTTTACACTAACTTTCTGAACTATATGTATTTGGTGTTCAAAGTGAACAGAGCCGTAGTTTACACTAACTTTCTGAACTATATGTATTTGGTGTTCAAAGTGAACAGAGCCGTAGTTTACACTAACTTTCTGAACTATATGTATTTGGTGTTCAAAGTGAACAGAGCCGTAGTTTGCACTAACTTTCTGAACTATATGTATTTGGTGTTCTAAGTGAACAGAGCCGTAGTTTACACTAACTTTCTGAACTATATGTATTTGGTGTTCAAAGTGAACAGAGCCGTAGTTTACATTTATTACCTTCTAAACTAGACATATTTTGTGTCTCGAATGAACAAAGCTATTGTGTATTGTTACCTTTTAAACTAGTGGTAGTTTTGTTCTAAGTCAACAGAGCTACAGTGTACATTTATTACCTTCTAAACTAGACATATTTTGTGTCTCGAATGAACAAAGCTATTGTGTATTGTTACCTTTTAAACTAGTGGTAGTTTTGTTCTAAGTCAACAGAGCTACAGTGTACATTTATTACCTTCTAAACTAGACATATTTTGTGTCTCGAATGAACAAAGCTATTGTGTATTGTTACCTTTTAAACTAGTGATAGTTTTGTTCTAAGTCAACAGAGCTACAGTGTACATTTATCTTTTGTGTCCCAAGTGAATAGGGGTATGCTGTACGCTTACTTTCTTAACTAGACGTAGTTTGCGTACAAGGCGAATAAAGCTATAACATACAGTTAACTTCTACAACAGATACTGTCACAAGTAAATGGACTTATAGTATACATTTATCTTCTAAACTACACGTTTTGTGTCCTTAGTGAACAGAACTAAGTAGCGTTTAAAGCCTTATATTGCTTGCTTGCGGACTTGGTAGTAACTTTGGTTTTAATCTCATAAGCCCCTAGGGCAAGACAACCAGGGGCGCTCAGAAACTGTTGTTTCTCTTCAGCCCCGCACGCGGAATTAAGGTTAAATCTTACTGGAAATGAAAAGATATTAGAAGTACATGGAAGGTATGATACATAGCAGAATACGCGAGAAAGTGTTTATTACTTAATAATGTGGGTACTCCTATCATACTAATTATCTACATCTTGTGGAGCAATCTAGAAAATCTGTGAAGCGACAATAAAGGAGAGAAGAGAAGGAAAGTTGACTTAGGTGTTGCTTTAACTTGACTGGAACCAAAGCCTTATATAAGGCGCTCTTAGCTCCTTAAATACAAGTGTATAGATATGGAGAGCACATTCATTTCGTGAATTACAAACAGTTCATGTGTCACACTTGAATATAACATGTGTACTCTTACTTTCTAAACTAAAAATATTTCGTTTTGCAGGTGAATATATACCTATAGAATATGGGTACCTTCTAAACCAATGGTGTATTTGTTTTACAGCAAAGCCACATTAGGCTATCTGCTGTGTCCACCGCGGGGAATCGAACTCCGGATTTTAGTGTTGCAAGTCAGTAGACTTACTGCTGTCTCATCGGGGGACTAAACCAATCATTCCTAACTGATGGCTAGTCGCGACTCAGTAAATAGCTTTAGTGCAAAAAGAGAAAAAAAAACGTGGCTTACTAAATAGTCTGTTTGTATTTGAGCACAAAGCTACACAATGGGCTATATGTGCTCTGCCTACCACGGGTATTGAAAAACGGTTTCTGGCGTTGTGACATACCGCTGTGCCACTGACGGGCGGTTTACTAAATAAATATATAAAATATTATTTATTATCAAAGCCTGTCTTCGACCCTTTCATACTTTCTAACGATCCAATTTTGGCTTGTAACCTATGGACTGAGAAACGCTATCATAAACTAGAAGTAGTAAATATCACAAGTAAATGTAGATCTACAGTATATACGTACTTTCTAAAGTACAAGGGGCAGGATATGGCCTAATGGTTAGCGTGCTCTGACCCTGAATTAGGTGAATCGACGTTCAGGTCCCGTTGCCACTCCGTATCATAGGTTGCTATAAGAATGATAGTGGAATTCTGCTATCATGTCAGACAAGAATAGCTCAAGAGTTTTCAGTGGGTGCTGTTGACTAGCTGCTTTCCATTTCAGTTTAAAATTAGGGAACCTTTGCGTAGCTTTGCAAGAAAAATCTCAAACAAACAAACTACAAATAGTTTGTACGTTTCACAAGTTAACCGACCTGTCGTTTGTACGGACTTTGTCAACTACACGTATTTTGTACTTTCTCAACCATACGTAGTCTACAAACGAATACTTTATAGTTTACAATCATTTTATAAAGCCAAAATATTTCTAAAGTGTCACTGATGGAAAGTTTAAAGTAACTCACCTTCTAAAATAGACGTACTGCCATCGGTGAACGTCACTAAACTCACCTTCTAAACTAGATGTATTACGTAAGTGTCGAGTGATCTTCACCGATGGCAGTACGTCTATTTTAGAAGGTGAGTTACTTTAAACTTTCCGTCAGAAACTCACCTTCTAAACTAGATGTATTACGTAAGTGTCACTGACGGAAAGTTTAAAGTAACTCACCTTCTAAAATAGACGTACTGCCATCGGTGAAGATAACTAAACTCACCTTCTAAACTAGATGTATTACGTAAGTGCCACTGACGAAGGGCACTGCCAGCAACCTCCTGGGGAACACCACCTATGTAAAGAGGCATAGAACTTTCTAAGTACTCTTTCAGTCCAGCATTAATAATCGTTCGAGCGATTCCGCCATCAACACGCATTGTGAAGTTCTTCTTCACTAAGATCAGTTCTATGGTGTGATAGTGGCCATCAGACACCATTTCATAGCTGAACATGGTGGACACGGGGTAGTTGCCCACGTCAAAACTGATCCGGACTCGGCCACGGAATAACTCAACTGCCAGATGGTGAGAATCTCCAGTGTATGCCACTACTCCATACTCGTTATTAGTTGCCAAGGTTAAGGTAATGTTTGCTTGTGGCTTGGTCGTTAGAGGGTCAAACTCCAGGAACGAATTGCTCTGAAAACTAACGCTGGACAGCCTCTCACAGCGCTTCCCTGTGAAACCGGGAGAACACTTACAGATGTAATCGGTAGAGCCGCTCGGTTGAAAGCATACACCATGTTTACAGTCGTGTTGCTGACATGGACTGGTTTGAGGATACAACATAGCAACCATTGGGGCAATCTCACAGAATGTTCCGGAAAATCCCTTCGGACATTCACACTTATAACCCTTGATTCCGTCCAGGCAGGTTCCCCCGTTCTGACACAAGTGTACCCCGCAGTCGTCAATGTTCTCAGTACAGTTTTCTCCTTGAAATCCGTCTGGGCACACACAACTAGTAAAACCAATATAAATACAGACATTTATTAGTGCACAAACTGGGATTTAGTTAACAAGTTCGTGAAAAATCAGTTCTCTTAGAGTTAGGAGACTTTTTAAAATTTCCTTGAGAACTGGGTTTAAACATACATAAAGTTATCAAGCTAACATTATATTTAAAGATAAATATACATACATTAGTAGAGGAATTGCTAAAGGGGTGATTTATTACTACAGTTTTCATAGTATTTTATTCCGAAATGGATTTAAAAACTTTATAGACCAAAAATATTTGTTATTATTTCTCATCTACATTTCTCTTCACCTTGACTTTTGAAATAATCCATTCATCGATTTTTTCACTGGTTGTCTTGAAATTATGTTAATAAGATAACAAGTTATAAAACATCAACACTGTTATTATAAAGAAGAAGTTTCTGAGTAAGATTTTACACGTTTCTACGTCAAACGTTGATTCTCTAATGTGTACATTTTGTTACAATTAAAAAAATACACGAATAAATTGGTTCATTACTTCAAATATGGAATGTATCAAGCCTTAGAATAATAACTCCGTTCTCTGTAATTCATTGTAATAATGACGTAGGTTGCTCCGTTTTTACACGCTTTCAACAAGCTCTACTTGTAAGGTTTCCATTTTTAAACAAACTAAACCTTTTTACCTGTAATGAGTTTCATGATCGACACACGTTGCTCCATTTTTACACGGATTAAACTGTTTAGAGCAGAAATCAATCTTCTTTTCGCAGTAATTTCCTGTAAAAATTTTAAATAAGTTTTGATTTTTTAGTATTTATCTATTCCTAGTAATTCTTAACCACATTTACAAATAACCTAAAGAAGAAAATCGATTAGGTTTTTATAATTTATTTTAGAAGACGAAAAAAAATCGACACTGAGGTAATAAAGACGAAGGAACTGAAGCTATAAAACCGAAATTCACCTCTTTGTATAGAGGCAGGAATATACAATCAGCATTTAAAAAACTTCTTAAAGTCAAGGAACATTCTTCCGTATAAAATTGACTATATGGCATTAAAGTAAAAGTATAAAAACATTATTAAAAAAAGATAAAAAACAGTAGTGAATATAGAAATAAAAGAGGAAGGTATAAGAGGAAAAAACAACTGTGCTAAAAGACGGAGAACATACTTATACAGGACACACTATATAACCTTTGTTTTAGCCTTGAAAAGTGTGATGCTAAACAAATGTGAGTTTGGAGTTTTATTCCATTAATAAAGAAAGAGTATTTTTCTTAAAACTTCCAAAAGTTTACCAGTTCCAAACTATTGAAATAAAAAGATACAGAACAAAGAATTAAAGAAGATCAAACTAATAAAGTAATAACTTCAAGAACAAAGCACAAAGATATAAGTTGTTAGTTAAAAGCTCTGTCATGTAATAATGTAATTAACGTTCTAGATTTATTAATGTATTTGTTTGTTTCTAAATCAAAGAGCTCGTGTACTTTGTTGGTAAACAGATATGTATGTTAGCAATTATACACACATTATTTATCCTTTTATAAATTAGAAAAGAATATATCTTTATTCAGAATAATTGGGTTAACTTTTCAAAACTTTCATGCATGTGTTCTACATATAGCTGACATTCTTGTAAACGACATGTGAAATACTTCATGGTATATTAAATGATTACAAGCTACCGCTAATAATACTAACACAGAAAAAAATTCTGAAATTAATAAAGCAGCATCTGAAGGATATACCTTGAAAGTTTTGCTTTGTCTTTCGAATATTCGCGCAAATTTAGTCAAGGACTATCTACTCGTGTCGTTCTAATTTTGAGCTGACAGGCTAGAGGGAAGGCAGATAGTTAATAGCATCCACCGCCAACTCTTGGGCTAATCTATTCTTAATGAATACGGGAATTTGATCGTTATCCTCATAATGCACTAACAGCCCCAAAGTATGGAGCAGAATTTTTTTTTGTTTTTCGGTAACGGGAAGCGAACACTGGACCCGCAAATCCATAATATGGTACACTAAGCACTGGGAATCGCTGGACCCTATACCTTAAAAGAGGTTAGAAATATTATCCATACATTTTTAGATTTCTGACAACCAAATGTAAAATGATGGATGAAGTTTAATATGATGTTATCTAACATGAAGATATCTAAATATGAGGAAACGGAAATGTTTATTGATTCATTACTTGATCAAAAATTTAAATTTTTTCTTTAAAGGGAAAAAAAGTAATTAACATGTGGGTCTAAATGCCCTTCTCGTTCGATGAAATAAGCAATGTAAACTCTGCTTTTTGGCCAACTTGTCTGCTCTTCTACATTTATGATAACTCTTTACCTATAGCTTCTCTGTTTTTAAACTGACATTAAACAAACGCTTATATTTTAATGTGGCAGTAGAACTTTAACATAACATAATTCAACAGACATTGAGTGGTATTTTCGGATTCATGTTGTACTCAAATAGAATGAGTTGGAGAAGACACCTTTATTAAAAATATTGGTAAGAAAAGCTGCATCCTACATGAAGCTACCAAAATAAAGGGGGGTATCCAAGATTATTACAATATGTTTCACAGTCGGGGGCTATGCTCCTCAACCAAAATGGCTACATTATCTAGAGGGAACCACATGAGTGAAAAAGTGTTAGCATCAGGGGCTAATATAAGATCACTGTGCCTATTGAAAGGTGCCATTTTGAGGTCAACTGTATGTGATGTTACGTGGTTCGAGGTCATGCCAGGATCAAATATGTTTAGTCTATTGAGAATACTACTTCTATGGTTACAAACCACAATGACCATTTCATAGAGCTTATATTTGCTTGGTCATGCTGCTGTATTATTACTCTCCTGATGTATGGAGCATACCAAAGTGAAGGAATGGTAGAGAGAAGTATACATATATATACAAGTTAGTATGAGATGGGAGTAAATCTTCCCTTGGATGTATGTAATGAGAATGGTATTACTGAGACAGGTAGTCTAACATCAAGAAATATCACACAAAAACCTCTATCTACTTGTTTGTTTCAGATTTTGTGAGCAAAGCTACATAAAATGTTATCTGTACATAGTCATACCCAATTTTGAACTGACAGGCTAGATGAAAGGCAGGTAGTCAACAGTACCCACTGCTAGCTCTTGGACCACTCTACTTGACCAAATAGTGGGATATGACTATCACTCTTATAATGCACCCATGGCCCAAAAGTGTAAAGTGTGTTTTTGCAGCAATGGGCCATAAATCACGAAACCTAAGATTCATAATCCAAGTACGCTAATTAATAGATCATGCCTGGCCCATTTTCGTCAGATTGAACAGTATTATAAAGACACAATTCCACAGCCCTTTATCAAATTAAGTGACAATTCATCTGGTAATCATCTAGTGAAGAAAGCTTTGCTTTCTATCAACTCCAGAAGTCACACCAGTAGTCAGCTATAATTGAACAGATGATAAATATATTTTTATTCAGGCATCTTCAGGTAATTAAATTTTTTCTTGCATTTAACTAGTTGATGTACTTGTAAACAAGAGGTGGAAGATCATACATTTGTGATAATATTCTATCCTCTGTCCTAGACACCGGTTACATACTACAGCACTCACTCTATGAAGGCTTATACTTGTTTGACCCTGTTTTTGTATCATTGCTCCCTTAAGGTGCTGGGTATACTGAAGTATGGAGGTGTTACCCAGAGTTTAACAAGGTTTCACCTCCTTTGAATGTATATAATATGATCATTGATGCAGCTAGTGTAACTAAGGTTATGGGATATTGCATTAGGGCTCTGATATGATTTAACAGTGAAGTATCAACATATCTTTATACTGTATTTTTCTTGTGAAGAAGTTCCTTAAAATTCCTATCTGCTTCAAGAACCAGTAGAAGACTATTAATAATAAACATAAAGGCCAGTCAGTTTGATAAAGCCTAAGTATCTTTTCTGTTTTATCACCAAAATAAAGATCGTTTGTTTTGTGTTTGCATATACACTTAAGTCTTTTCAGTTTGCTGTCCTTGTCCATCATTATTTGCACAACACAACCAGTATCAGGTATGTATTTGTGGATATTTATAACCCAGTGCTATTCTGCTATTATTCCCAATATTCTGCTACATGTGCTTGTCCCCCAGTAGTCCAGCGGTATATATGTGGACTTACAACAATAGAAACCGGGTTTCGATACCCGTGGTGGGCAGAGCACAGATAGCCCATTGTGTAGCTTTGTGCTTAATTTCAAACAAATATACATACACGTGCTTTTCCCTCTAGTGTCCAAACTGGATGTGATTTTTTTTTCCTGAAAAGTTGGAGCTCTTTTCTTGTAAGTTATGATATTTTTGTGCTATTGTTATAGAGTATGCTAGAGCCTCTGAATTAGCGTTGAATGTGAATATATATACCCTTATGATTTCAATTCATAAATAGGGAACCAAATAGAATTATCAGGTTTAAAGTTCCAAGTCGTTGTTTTGTATAGTAAAAGATAAAAAAGATAGTAAGAAATTAATGCTTAACTATTCACAGTTAATATTTGGTTAATTTTCTTTTAAGTACACAATAAGCCCTATTTTGTCTGCCATAAATGATTTTGACATTCCACCAAACTTTTTCTAATCCTTACCTGTGTAACCGACTGGACACCTACATTCGTAGGCCTGTAACAAATCAATGCACGTGCCGTTGTTTTCACACTTGTTTGCAATGCAATCGTCGATATTAGTCTCACAATGATAACCTTCGAAGCCTGGTGGGCAGTGGCAGCTGTTCCGAAAATATAGTAATTATTAAGGTCCTCGTGAACTTCTGAACAAAATATTACGCTTACTTGTTTATAAGGAGCTAGATTTGAGCGCCAAACAGTTAAAGAAATAAAACGAAGGAATTATGATTCAACTAACGCAGCGGTTCTCAAACTTTTTCACACAGACCGCTTCACCCGTCAACTCGAGCCTACATACTGAGGTAGGTCTATCAACGGAAAACAAACCACTGCACAATATAATAGTAGTTAGAACACATCAAGCCATCAAATGACCGAATGAAAATAAAAATATTACTTACAACATCCCTTGTGAAAGTAGACTTCGACTCCGATACATTATAAAAAATAACAACAAAAAGTTAGAATCCAGGAGCTTGAAAGACACACAAAATTTTGTAATACAGATCTATATGTAATAGTTCATCATGGCCACAAGACTCTGTAATACAAATATATATGTAATAATTTATCATGGCAGAGGAAAAGACCATAAGATAAAGTGAATAACACTAAAATAATAGGATATGAGTCGCACATTCGAAAAATAAAAATAAAATACGCCTTCTACGTCTGTTTTAATGATAACACACTCAGCAAACCTAGAATAGAGGGTAGCAAAACCGGAATACCCTCTCGAAAACATTTAATAAAGTTGATGATTCAAGTCCTAATCGTAGAAACTCCATACGAGTGGAGAGTATACCAACTTATCTATAAAGAAGAGTGAAGATCGAATCTTGGCCTCTTCCAGCTATTAGCTGTAATAATAATATAAACTATTTAATAACTGCGCAACTTACTAGCCACGAAAACGACTGATAACCAATCGTCACAACCTTGTCGTAACTACTTAAATTAATAATCATTAGTTTCATTAAAAGTGTCATTAAAAGCTTTTCTGTAACGAAACTAATAATGATTGTTTAAATTTGTTCAACAAATTAAGCAAAGTAAAATTATTTTGGACTGTGTTGGCGGATTACCCACACAGACTAAAAAAAATATATTGTTCATTTGGTTATTTGATTTTCTTTTAATAGAGAGTAATTTACATTTTGGCTCAGCGATAAGTCTGAGGCCTCAGTATAAAAGAGAGCTTCTGTATTCATAAGCTGAGGCCTAAGATTAATGTTAATGAAACTGATACTAAATTATTTCTACTTTTATAAACTGTTGTCGTTACCTGGATCTTTTAGTGACGTCATATAAATAAAGCCATGATTCTTGAATATCTCTGGATATAATTTAGTAATTTTTTAACATATCGAATATTGTGAGAAAGCTTCAAATGGCAATCCAAATTTGAAAGTTATTGTCAAACTTCTAACAACCAGTATTATCTACCAAGTGCTAAAGAAAAGCAGAATGGCGGAGTCTACTGACGTAACAGCACCTACCTAAACCGTCCAGCTTCCAAGACTTTACACGTTCCACTGTTGTCGCAAGGATTTCCATAACAAGCGTCGATAACCTGCTCGCAATGGTTACCATGGTATCCAGGTGGACACTTACATTCATACTCCCGCAACGGTTTTGATACACACGTGGCACCGTTCCGGCAAGGAAAAGTATAGCACATGTCACACTTTGCCAGAACGTCCGCTTCCGGTTTGTCTGTAAAAGTCGACAAAAGTACTCTTTAAATAAATTCAATAACAATGAAATTTTGTATCTAAGAATCATCACTGGGTTCTAAGCTGAATGTAAATACGGCTTTACAAACACTTAAATAAAATGATGCAATGTTAGTAACTACATTATTTTGCTAGGTTTACATCACGTATTGTTTGAGCTAAACCAGAATTTGTATTTTTTTTGGGGGGGATGAATGTGAGAGTATTTCTTCTAACGCTACAACTCTGTGGAGTGCGTGCATCGTGCTCAACGGTGAGGAACAGGTACCATGAGGCTGGGCTTGGGTCCGGGATACAATTTAAAGCCCCTATACTGACCTCAAGGCTAGTGTTTGAACAGGAATATGCCACTTGGACCCCTGTACTGTTCGAAGAGGTGAGTGAGTATCTGGAGATGTGAAGGAGAGCAATATTCAGCCTGTAACATTGTCCACCATGGCTCAATCATGGTCTGAGGTGGCATCTGCATACAGATCTCTGTGTGGTGGGTGGAGGATCCCTGACAGCAAGACGTTACGTAAATGAGATCCTGCTAGCCAATGCTTACCTTTTGTTGCTGCTATCGGAGATAAGGCAATGTAATAGCAGGATAACGCCCGTGCTCACACAGCCAGGATCATGAAGCAATTTTTTTCAGGATGAAGGAATAGAGGTACTGGACTGGACTGCTAAGTCACCGAACCTAAATTCGATTGAGCACGTGTAAGACTTGCTAGGGAGAACAGTTAGAGACAGGCGACCTGTTCATACGATTGTCAAGGAGCACAAAGCTGCCCTCATCCAGGGGTGGACTGTACTGCCCCAGTAAATGATCCGAAATGTCATAAGGAGTATGAGGAACAGGTGATAAACAATATAGGAGGTCCTAAACGTTCTGCGTTAAGTGGAGATTATTTGACTTCTTTCACAATAATACTTCGACTAAATCAAATTTAAGCTTTATTTTCAGTATTAATTATGCGGAATTACATCATTATTTTGTTTTATTACTGAAGAGTATGTAATTGTTTTAGTAAAGTTTAGTTACCTGAATATTTTGAATCATTCGATGCATAAATACACCATTCATAAAAAAAAAAGACAGAGACACGTTCGATATTAACGAATCTTGTTTAGTACAAATATCACAGGTAAACAATACCAAGCAAAAACAAAAGCAGAATCAGCAAGCGAGGCCGGTATTTGGCTGCACAAATATATATAAAAAAAACTCATTAAGATGAACAAAATGTGTCTTTATAACTAGCTTGAGTAGATTAACAATGATCTTACCAGTACAAAGGAAATGGCTAGATGGAGCTGTGAGGACCAGTTTGTTCTTCATCAGTCGAGGTTCTGCACAGCGTGCTATTCCCGGTTCAATGTAGTCACGTTTAATCCAATCAGACAGCCACTTGAGAGTGCAGTCGCAGTAGAGCGGGTTGGCCCCTAGAGCACTAGTAGGATGAGGAAGGGTGGGGATGATTTTAATGGTTACATCAACTTCATAAAATATGTCAACAAATGTATAAGTTACATAGATCTACCTACACAATGAATAAAGTGAGAAACAAGATGGTCAGATTCATTGACCAATACGCCGTGTTACTTAATCAACTAAACGAAAATTAACGTGTACAAGCAAAAGTAAATATTCCTAAGACTTCTTTCTGCCTTCATTTCATTCTGAGACTTACCGAATTAAAACGAAACAATGGGTAAATGTGACGTATCGAAAATCAATATTGTTTTCATATAGATTGTACCTAATACTGAAAAAGTGGGTATAGTTGTAACGGGATCTATTCTTCATTTCAAACGTACACTGTGTAGATCTTGCAGATTGGTTGCAAGAGTGTAAGACCAACGTAATTCTAATCACTGTAAACCTACTACTAACTACTTACATACATGAATCAGTCCTGATTACGTGATCAAAAACTATGGCGATTACAACGCCTTTTTTTCAGTTCGAAAAATCACAGAAAGTTGATTATTATCAAAACTAGCAGAACCGCCGCCCTACGGGTGGCTCTTTGTGCTAGTAATTACTAATCATAGTATTCATACCGAACTGAACAAAATTTAGAAAAAAAATTAACATTTTCTAAAAAAGTATTTTTTATGGGAAGTGCTGCACGGGAAAAGTGTTCGGATTGTGCTCTTTAATCATCCGTAACTGAATTGCATCAAAATGATTTAATGTAAAGAGCTCAAAATTTTCATAAATGTTACTGATATAAACTGTAATGTTTTTGTATATTAAAAGTTCTAATCTTTATTGAAAAAATAACAGTTTTTTAAGAACTCTAGTTTCTCAGCACTACATTTAAAAATTACATCAATAAACATATTAACCAAACCCACATGTACAATCCCAGTGAAAGTGGTGTTCTTGTTGTGAGGAGAGTACTTTTATTTAAAATTGTGTTATATTATAAAGAAACGGTTGTTGCACATACCATAGTTATTTTTCTGAATCTTGAAAACCTAAGGTGTGAAATTTTTTATGGATGTTTGTGATGCCTTTCAATAGATGGCGAAGGAGTTTTGGTGACATACAGATACTGACATATACGCTACGTCCATAATAGTAAGATGACACATTTATGTTACGGTTGTTTGTAATTAGAAGCTACACAATGGGCTATCTGTGCTCTGCCCACCACGGGCATCGAAACTCGGATTCTAGCGTTGTAAGTCCGCAGACATACTGCTGTGTCACTGGGGGACTTTATGTTACGTATTGTCAATGTTGCGATATCCTCAAAATTTTAATTGAAAATAACATTAAATGTTCAAAATGTGATTAACACCTGCCACACGAGCCACCCTAGCATCCTTTAGTACTGACCCTAGGATGGTCAACAGGGGTAGGGGTGATTCCGGAAACCGGTGCTTTAGGGTTATATCGATAGATCTAAGTGAATAAAATTCGGCACAACTTCTAAAACGAAAAAACTAAAGATTAATGAAAAATATGACATCGTGAAATCTGTATGGATTATACTACGATGGTACTATGCTGGGCCTTATACCAACCTTCGTATATTTACTTTGCACTGCAGAAATAGCATTTTTAATAAGCAAATCGCTAGGGAAATCATCTTGTAATTCACAGTGTATCTGCTTCAGCTTCAATACTGCATCTTTAGTCTTTACTGTGCCGTTAGTTTCATAAAATATTGAAACTAATGATTTCTTATATATGATTTCAATCACCCTTTTTGAAGATAACGGTAATCTTGTGCCCGTTTTTCTATGTTTCGCTGTCAATGCAATAATTAATTGGAGAATCTACGATTCAGCTGGTATGTCAAATCGATTGGGATATATTCGAATAAGTTCTTCCTTCGTCGAACCTGGACCCACATTTAAACCATCACAACCACATCTAGAACATTTCAAGCATGTTTAATTGCTACATCGTTTTATTTTACATTTACAACTTAACTTGTTGTCTCTATTGGTTTCGGATCAGGTCCAGCGACCTAGACTTTGAAAATAGTGCCAAACGGCTTCTTTTTGTCTAATCCGAGCATCCCAAACCTTTCCGGAATGATTCATTTTTTTAGGATCCAGGCTGACTCGAGTAGCAGGTGTTAAATAGTAAAAATTGTATATCTATGCATCATTATTTTTCTGCTTACTCGGTGTGTAATTAATCATGGTACCTATAGGTCCTACAATATATCAAAAACTACACTTCAATGGTTGAACTGAACCACTAACTAATTCTGGTGACTCATGAACATTTAATTTTTAACACAGTCCTTCGATAGTTCAGTATGTCTGAAGGTTTTGTAACGCTAAAAATCAGGTTTCGATACATGCGGTGGCCAGAGTATTGATATCTCATTGTGTAGTTCTGTGCTTAAAAACAAACCAAACAATATTTAACATTATTTTATCGTGCAACATTTAAAACGTACGATGTTTTTGACCTAATTTTAACACTTGGGACGCACTAGTTTTGTTGCTTTTAGAAATGTAAAAACGATGTTGTTTTTTTATTCAAGTTGAAAGCTACGAAAAATCTTACAGGCAAAACGAAGAAAGAAAATCAAAGACAAAAAACTGACGTGAACTAAGGGCCATTAAACACGTGCTTTATTATCTTATACATTTGCAAACGGTTTCTTCTCAATGAGATCACATATATATAGAAATAAGAGTGTGATAGCACTATTCCACATATTTTACTAAAGCTAAATTGAGATGTAGAAGTGTCAAAGAACTAGCTGCTAAAGCACAAGTGCGGGGGAAGGTAACTAAACATTTTTTAGATATTAGTCTACTAATGAATAATACAAAAATTTTATTTGTACCATAACACTCTGTTGTTAACTTACATGTGGGTAATAGAGACCAGATCTCGAAAAGCGCCCTCTGGTATCATTGATACATCATTTCCGTGAAGGGAACTATAAGATAAATTTACAAAAAAATTACAATGAAGTAAAAAAAAAATATTCAAGAAAATTCATTTTTGTTCTCGTTTACATGATATTGAAATAGTTTTATATATCTAAATAAAATATTTGCAAAATACAATGTCTTCACAAAGTTAATATCTCTAAGCGAAGGTTTGAATTGTTGAATAGAACCACTATTCTACTCATATTAAAACAAACAATAATTTTTCCATATATATTATGATTATTGATTACAATATCGTGTCGTTCAATATAAAAATTCTAAATCTTCAAACTGATGGTTTATAATTGAGTGACCAGTAAACTTGTTTGGACAGTTAGTTAAATTGCTGATCATTATACCTAAAGTTTATCAATCATTAAGGATCTAAGTCTAACTGGTTTCTCATTAAATGAAGTTTTAATAGAGAAAGTATTAAGTTAAAATAAACATTAGATAGAAAATACCACACCAATCACAAACGTCTACAAGTCACGTGAACAAATACACAGACAAATATTCTTCATCACACCAACAATGTAGTAACTATTTCATAACTTAGAGAAATAAACAGTACAATAATTAAGATTACAATGGGAAAAAAATCAGGTTATCGACTATAATAGCTGTAAGGTAAAGAGAGTCGGTTTTCTTTCAAATTACGATACTAACAGGACGCGTAGGGACTTTAATCCTGTAAAGCTGTCCTTCTGTATACACTGTAGTTTGTTGTAGCTCAGGATTCTGTAAATAAAATAGGTAGGAATGAAAAACACGTGCAAATAATAAGGAACTCCATATACGTAATGAAAGAATAGGAAATTCGATTATTTTACATAAAAAAATTGTTATATGTGTCTATTGTAATACTTTTAAAAACAGTAAATAAAATGTGTATTGACTTTTATTACTTGTGTTCTAAAAAACAAACATTTTACATTTAATAGAGCTGTAAGTTTAGTTTTATGAAAGTATTTTCATGGTTTATAATATAATCAAACTTCTTATGTTCCCCATGGAATTATCCCATAGTATATATAACAAGCATTACAATAGAATCAAGTAATTAATTGCTGTTGTCGGTTCTAGTTCAACTTATAGTTATCACGGATAATGCTTGTGGTCATAGCACCCAAATGAGTTGGATATATTCCATCTACTGACAACTAGGACCGACAACGGCAATTAATTACTTAATTTTACTGTAATGCTTGTTTTATATTAAGTTCATTATTGTTTTATAGTTCTGATTCAATCGCCTATTGATAATTAATGTAACTAACAGTATTAAAACTATTTATTTATATATATTCAGTTAAAGTGTTTTCAATACTTACAAAGTTGATAGTTTCGTTAAGTTACTGAAGACATCATTTGGAATAATGGAGATCTGGTTGTTACTTAGGTCTCTGAAAACAGACGACAGAGTAATTATAATAAGTAAAGGTGATTGAAATGTCGGACTGGTCAAAACTATTACACCAGGTTTTGCATTTATTAATAAAACACCGAATTATCTGAGGAAAAAATAATTTTTATTAAAGAAAATGTAAAATATTAGAAAGACCAATGTTAGAAAAGTGTAAAGTTTTCACAACTTTATCAAATGCTAACATAGTCATGATGCAGATATATTGTAAGTTCTACGAAAATAAAAATACCATGCATCGCTTACGTGTTAGTGCAAAAACGTATTAATAAACACAAAACTAAATATATTCTAGTTATTGTGTTGTGCTTGCTATATTTTACAACATTAATATTGTTTTAGTGGGAACTAATGAATGAGTTTGATTACATAACCTGCAAGGGTTAGATTCAGATCACCTACTGAATTAGCATAAACTTTGATAAACTGCATTTCTTCAATCTAGTTAGTCATATGCTTAATATCTACTAGTCCTACTTTAAATGAGTCATTACTACATTAGATTATTAAGCAAACACGCTATTACTACATTAGTTTCATACTAAACAAGCCATTACTACATAAGAGTAATAAACTAAACACGTTACTGCTACATTATAGTATCATACTAAATACGTCATTGCTACATTAAAGCATCATATTAAACACGTCACTGCTACATTAGAGTATCATTCTAAACATGTCATTGCTACATTAGTTTCATAAGAATATCATATTAAACACGCTATTATTACATAAGAGTATCATATTAAACATTGGCTAATTTATTTAATATTGAGAGTAAATTTTACAAGAAAACCGGAAGTTATACTGACAGCCGTGTTAGTTCAATCAGAGCGTTGATGCCATCTGGGATAGATGAGATACTGTTCACGTCCAGATACCTAAATACATGTCACAACAGAATAGGAAATTAGGAAGACTGTGTTGTTAAAGATGCTTCTATGATAAATGAATGGGTAAATAAAATTGCCAATAAAGGAAATTTTAAAGAATGTTGTTTAATTACATACGTACCAACCAAAGAACAAAATGATGGATTGATGTGAGATGCTTAACTACACGTCAGAACAGAACAGATTCAATAATGTCTGTCTAGTAAAACAGACACCTATAACAGATTTAATAATGTCTGTCTAGTAAAACAGACATCTAGAACAGGTTCAATAATGTCTGTCCAATGAAACAGACACTTATAACAGATTCAATAATGTCTGTCTAGTAAAACATATATCTAGAACAGGTTCAATAATGTCTGTCCAATGAAACAGACACTTATAACAGATTCAATAATGTCTGTCTAGTAAAACATATATCTAGAACAGGTTCAATAATGTATGTCTAGTAAAACAGACACCTCTAACAGATTCAATAATGTCTGCCTAGTAAAACAGACACTTCTAACAGAGTCAATAATGTCTGTCTAGTAAAACAGACACCTCTAACAGATTCAACAATGTCTGCCCAGTGAAACAGATACCTATAACAGATTCAATAATGTATGTCTTGTAAAACAGATACCTATAACAGATTCAATAATGTATGTCTTGTAAAACAGATATTAGGACAGTTTCATTAATGTCTGTCTAGTAAAACAGACACTTATAACACATTCAATAATGTCTGTCTAGTAAAACAGATACCTTTAACAGATTAAATAATGTCTGTCTTGTAAAACAGACACCTATAACAGATTCAATAATGTCTGTCTAGTAAAACAGACACCTCTAACAGATTCAATAACGTATGTCTTGTAAAACAGACACCTATAACAGATTCAATAACGTATGTCTAGTAAAACAGACACCTATAACAGATTCAATAATGTCTGTCTAGTAAAACAGACACCTCTAACAGATTAAATAATGTCTGTCTAGTAAAACAGACACCTCTAACAGATTAAGTAATGTCTGCCCAGTGAAACAGACACTTATGACACATTCAATAATGTCTGTCTAGTAAAACAGACATCTAGGACAGGTTCAATAATGTCTGTCCAATGAAACAGACACTTATAACACATTCAATGATGTCTGTCTAGTAAAACAGACACATCTAACAGATTCAGTAATGTCTATCCAGTGAAACAGACACTTATAAGAGATTCAATAATGTCTGTCTAGTAAAAGAGACACCTGGAACAAATTCAATAATATATGTCTTGTGAAACATACATTTAGAACAGGTTCAATAATGTTTGTCCAATGAAACAGACATTTGAAAAAGGTTGATTAATGTATGTCTAGTAAACAAGACACCTCTAACAGATTCAATAATGTCTGCCCAGTGAAACAGACACTTATAACAGATTCAATAATGTCTGTCTAGTGAAACAGATTCCTATAACAGATTCAATAATGTATGTCTTGTAAAACAGACATCTCTAACAAATTCAATAATGTCTGCCCAGTGAAACAGACTCTTATAACAGATTCAATAATATATGTCTTGTGAAACAGACACTTATAACAGATTCAATATTGTATATCTAGCAAAACAGACATATAGAACAGGTTCAATAATGTCTGTCTATTAAAACAGACATATTGAACAGGTTCAATAATGTCTGTCTAGTAAAACAGATACCTCTAACAGATTCAATAATGTCTGTCTAGTAAAACAGATACCTATAACAGATTCAATAACGTATGTCTTGTAAAACAGACACCTATAACAGATTCAATAATATCTGTCTAGTAAAACAGACATTTATAACAGATTCAATAATGTCTGTCTAATAAAACAGACACCTATAACAGATTCAATAATGTATGTCTTGTAAAACAGACACCTATAGCAGATTCAATAATATCTGTCCATGGATAAAAAGGGTGGATAAAAAGATTTTCTTTGGCTAAACTTTAATTGAAACACCTATCCTGAAATAAAAAGAGTTGTTTAAACATTTGTTTAACAACAAGTGAAAGCTTGGAATGGTCTATTCTTTCATTGAAGTGTGTGTCTGTGAGCTAGACTAGTTTTGGAGAATTCCACTTCTCATCAGTGACCCTTCAAATACCTATAGAATGATAGATTTTTTTTTGTTAGTGTAAAACACTTAAATACACCAGTTTGACCTATCTTGAATATAACTGTATCAGCTATTAATAGTTTGACCTATCTTGAATATAACTGTATCAACTATTAATAGTTATAGTAAATTAATCGATGTAATGTTTTCAGTTTTTCTCTTTCAATGAGCAACACTACTACAATTAATAAGTCTTTAGAATAAACTGTAAATTTCATTTAAAGTAAACAAAGGTAAAAAATATGCTAGTTGCTCCTTACAAATCGTCTCAAAGGTGATTTTCTCTGTCCCTAAAATTATTTGCTACTTTTAACTAATTTGTAAAAATCTAAATTATAACTCTCAGTAGCCTTAATTTCTCAGTCTTTCTTAAAATAGCATTTGTATGTTGTTGGCTATTTATCACAGAGTCAAATAATTTTGTTTGAATGAAGGTTACGTGTTCTGAAAAGTTGTGATACGTCTAAAGAACTATAGATATATTTCTTTATTTGTCATATAAATGTAGGTCTAGGTGTAGCTTAGTTGTTAGCGTGTCGGACGGTGTATGTAAGAGCCAACAGTTCGTGTGTCATTGCATCAAATGTTGCGCTCCGCACTTTGGGGCAGTAGGTACGTTAAAATAGTAACAATTAAATCCTATTATTCAGTGACAGGGTTGGCGGTGGGTATTGTTGACTAAACGTCTTCTCTCCAGGCTATAAGTTCAAAATAGGGATGGCTAGCGCAGATAGCACTTTTGTGGTTTTGCACAAATATGCATAAACAAAGAATAAATAAATTGCATTATTTTTGTCAAAACTAGCGCTTAACGTTGGCATTGTTTGTGGCAGAGAAGAGAATACAGTAATTTGAATTGTTAAAAAGCATCTTACTAGGAAGTGTTAGTGGGTTAACCTTCTAGCGGGTGAGCTGTCCTAAGTTTGAATATAAGCTGGGGAAATGATAGTCCAAGAAATTATACGTTTTTCGCTAACTGACTCATAAATCTAATTATGTTTGCACAACATTACTACTGTAAGAGACACCAACTTACAGTTCTGTGGATTCTACAGGAATATCTTTAGGTACCACTCTCAACTTCTGTCGACTACAGTGAACAACAGATCCAGTACAGGTGCAGCCCGGTGGGCAGGGAGAACGTGCACCACACCCATCAGCTAGTTCAAATTCTGTTAATAATAATAATAAAAAAATCAACAAGCCAGTACTTCAAAATACAGCTTTACATACACATTCGAACACTATAAATAGTTATCGTTTTAAAGTTGAAACAATTATTGGGTCCCTCTAAGTGGTGTTACAACGATTAGAAAAATGTTTAGGGTATATATATATACATCTCAGTGGAAACTTTTTACAGTAGAAGAATGCTTGTAAAGTAACTGTTAAACATACCCTAGCAAAAATAGTCTTTAAAACCATAGTGGATTCATATACCACTAGTAAAAGATTCCATCAAAAACAATACCATGAAGCAGCTCCAAAATGTTGAGATCTGTTGCATCGTAATAAAATACTAATACAATCACTGGTCGAATTGTATAGTAGAACACTACAATGTACATCATGAGACAACAAAAGTAGAAAAATCTTATTTAATAACACGCCATATCCAATTAGAACACTACAACATATACTACCTGTCGTACAACATTAGAACAATACAACATACGTTATCTGTCGTATAACATTAGAACACTATAACGTACGCTATCTGTCGTATAACATTAGAACACTATAACATATACTACCTGTCGTACAACATTAGAACACTACAACATACGCTACCTGTCGTATAACATTAGAACACTATAACGTACACTATCTGTCGTATAACATTAGAACACTATAACATATACTACCTGTCGTATAACATTAGAACACTATAACGTACGCTATCTGTCTACAACATTAGAACACTATAACATGTACTACCTGTCGTACAACATTAGAACACTACAACATACGCTACCTGTCGTATAACATTAGAACACTATAACGTACGCTATCTGTCTACAACATTAGAACACTATAACATGTACTACCTGTCGTATAACATTAGAACACTACAACATACGCTACCTGTCGTATAACATTAGAACACTATAACATATACTACCTGTCGTGCAACATTAAAACACTACAACATATACTACCTGTCGTATAACAATAGAACACTACAACATTCGCTACCTGTCGTATAGAACATTATAACATATGCTACTTGCCGTACAACATTAGAACACTACAATATACGCTACATGTCGTACAACATTAGAACACTATAATTGTAGGACAGTAATATACACTACCTGTCACATAGCATACCAGTACCCATCATCTGATATAGCAGATACAGCACAATATTATACTATACTAATGTGCACACCACACCAGAAAGCTATGATATACAACAAGCATCACAACAGTAATATACATAGAACTTAACGTACCACAGTAAACACTGACACGCATCATCTGTTGGATCATTTTATAACACTATACTTAACACCACCTGTCGCACGTCAGTAAAATAATAAAACGTACCAAGTCTGTTATACTAGACTTTTCCAAACTAGATTGAAATATATCCCACATGTCGCACAACAATAGAGCATTTTAAGTTTCCATAAACCACATTTGAAAGTTAACATGTTCATTGTGAACTGATAACGTATACAATATGTTTTTGTTTTAGATTTAACTTTTACTTAACATTTTACATTATAAAAAAACGCTAGGTGTGAAGAATTATTCTTGAACTGTAATTTGAATTTTTCATCTCTGATTATGCATGTGCCTGTTCAGTCTTCCGAAGCATGCAAGAACAACTTGCTTAAGTCTCTTGACATAATACTCCTATTAAAATTATTCGTTGGGCTAAAATCCGTTGTATGAAAATCACACAAAGATAGAACACTATAACAGAATCATCATAAGACAAACAAGAAATGAACAGGTTTTAATAGGTCATTTTTTACACGATATTAGAAAAATATTTTACACAAAACCTTTCACATCATATTAGAACACTATTCTAGAAATAACCATATTAGAACACTATTTCACGGATAACCTTTCATATCACAATATCAATCTACAACACAACTTAAAGCACACGCACGCACACACACACACATACACAAAGTATTCAACATGTACCGCTGCACTGGAAGTCCTTTAGCTGAACATCACTAATTGGTATTTCCTTCAAGGAACTGGGAGACTCACAACGAGGGCTTCCAATCACAGTCTTTCTCTCATGAAGCCACTCGGCCAACCACCGAAGATGACAGTTACAGTTGAGAGGATTGGAGAGTAAGTTTCTGTTGGAAATGAATTTTGAATTCTAGGTTATTGATGTAATGAACAACTTATACTTTTCTTTTATATAAAATATATCTTTTAAGAAGAGCAAAGGAATATTAATGTGAAGTTTTATATTTGTAGGTGTATTTTTATAGAACCATACTTCAAGAACTATATCGTAATAGGATTGATTATTCACTTTGAAATATTTCAATCTTAAAAAAGTCTGAAAGCATAATTACATTTTGAAGGATTAAGTGAAATATTGCAAATACTTCTTCGTTGTTTTCTGTATGATTTAGTGACTTTTATATCAAACTTGAGTGCTATTAGATTTTTTCCAAATTGTTTTAGTCGATGATCAAACCAGATACTTTTTAGTTAAAGAAATATAAAAATATAACTTTAATCCATAATATTTTGACTAGATCTAGAGATCCAGCACTATTATTTCGAAATAAATTTTAACTTTCATACAAGGAACAGTGCGGCCAATTTTTAACGTGCCGAAATGTAGATGAAATGGTCAAAGGCTCGCGCTGTGACGCCGTCGAACACGATTCGCGCTTTTGATGAGGGTGTGTTATAGAAGTTACAGTTAATCCAATTACTCTATTTAAAACTGAACAAAGCTCTATGGTGGCGGGTGGTGTTGAGTAGCTGCCTTTCTTGTGGTTAGTAGTTCAAAACTAGGTCATTTATTAAATGTGCCAATAAGGTGACGTTTAAGTTTGAATGCAACTACTTTCCTATTGTTTGTGTTTGGCATGTGCTAATTCAGTCTATTACTGTTTATGTACGTGTGTTGCAGGGTTATCTAATTAATTACCTTTTGAGTATTAAATATTATATGAACTATGACATAATTATATAGAGATTTTTCGTTAAAATATGACATTTTCTCATCTAATTTCGCTTTTTAATTTAGACCTTAAGTTTACAAATAACCTAAATGCATTAAATTTAATAATTTAAGCCTAATTTAAATCTTCCACTTTTTCAAATTCCACAAAGTGCGTGTTGTTGGATTTGTGGTCGAAAACTCCGCTGAAATCGAGGATAGTCTACTCAACTGATCACTGCAACTTATCCATAATACATTTTATACTTTCTTATTGGTGTCACCGTAAATTAATACACGTTGGTTCCAATTCAAAAGTATTTAAATGAAGCCTTATAACTTACTTTTGGTCTATGTTTGGAGATCTTGATATCTATTTCTGCCAATAATGGCACACGCCCATTTTGTTTTAACTTTAACTTACCATTAATAATAGATAATAAGTAAGAATCAGAGTATAAGTATCATTTATCAATCTTTATGTTATCTTCTAACTAAATGCTGTTTGGATTTTTGCATGCAACATTCCTCAAATTCGAGGTTACTAATTACTATAATATCAATTTAAAAACTGCGAATTAAATATACTAATCACAGCTGAAACCAAGTCTCATGCTACTTCTTTTATATTAACAACATAATAATGAGCCCTATTTACTTGAGTGATCTTATATCGTATAACGAACATTCACACTATGCCTAGGATGCGTGAACAGTAACGCGAAAATGACCGTCAAGAATGGCACCATTCTTCAACCAAGACTACCAATTACAATGCATAAATGGTACTTAGGACCACCCAATATTCTTTATAGTAGCTACTTATTAAAGTATTAAGTGCTCTCTCAGTGAAGATACTAAAAGGCTTCATTATGTTCAATTCCACAACTTGAAGCTTTTTTTGTAACAATAATGTAGTTATTTACACTCACATTTTCTCACTATCAAAGGTTATTTTAGAAACTAAACTGTCTTGGAATTTGTTGTTTTTACTTTAGCAAAGTTAAACATAAATGTTCTTTTTCTCCAAACTCTCAAAGAACACCAAAACGGTAACTCCTTCTAGTTGGTGTTGATAGCAGATTGAATCGTACAGAAAAGATCACAACAAGGTGTCTCTTCCATAATGCATACTTGGCTCTCAACGGCGACTTTGCAGGCCAGTCAGAAATAAAAGGGTAAAAATAACGACCCAGTGTTTACCAATCTAGAATACGGACCTCATGTGAGCGATTTTTGGTTTCAACAAGCTAAATTTACTAATCAAATTTGATAGAATTTCATTTCTAAGCCTATTAGTTGCACTTATGCTTTTCCATGCTCGTACAGATTGATTTACGACGTTAAAATTATACTGTAGTAAGAAGATATAAAAGTAGGCTTTACTTACAGTGTTGAAAGAGCTCTCATCCTTTCGAACGATCCCGGCATGATACATCGTATATTGTTGTCGTACAATGACCTGGAGAAGAGTGAGAGGTTGACATTGTAATGTTAAAAAGTGTACAAAACACACACACACATTGAAATATACCACACTTAGAAAAAATAAAATGTCACTGTAAACCATTTTGTATTTCTGTATCTCAGCAACTCTTTTAAATGTAACCGGCAGTTCATACTTTTCGAACTACCAAAAATGGAAATAATTAAATCAGGCACAAAAACTGATCGCGTAATCAGCAGAGTGTTGTGATAAGAATAAAGATTCTGTGATAGATTTCGATCAGTTAGATTTTTAAAGCTTGTTCACAAAATAGTCAGTTTGTGACATTTAGGAGACTTTTTTGTTAAGCGAAAAGCTAAATACAATAGGCTATCTATGCTGTGACCACCACAGGGATCGACCCCAGAATTTTTAAGTTATAAGCCCTCAAGCTAACTGCTGAACAACGGGGGATGTCAATATAGAAGAGAACACAGCTTTAAGAACGTACACATTAATACTAGTTTAATTTGCCTTTTTATTGTTGTTTATATCCGAAGATTTACAAGTTGCGGGAACCGACAAAAAGAACATGATTGAAACAAAGAGCAGTGGTATTGGGTTCATAATTTATAAAACAACAAGTAAAGGTTTGATTGAAATAGAAGATTACGTGACGATCTACTCAGGCAAAGAAAGTCACACAAAATGTATTGGGTTAATACGTGGTAAAACAACATTTAAAAGTATAAAGGGTAGTGGTCAGTATCAGACAAGGTTACAATGATGAAATTGGTAGTTAAATCTAGGGATATTTGTTTACTTCAGCTAGGTGCATTAACGTCGAATCACCGAAACGAAAAAAGGTAGAAAAGTAGAAACATAACATCGTTGTACATGATGGTTTAGGAAAGAGCAATGACAGAGGTAAAGAAGTGATTCAATTCTTTAAAGAAATAAATCCAGCTATAATGAACACATTCTTGAAACAGCACCCAAGAGGCTGTACACTTGGAAACGTCCAGGAGATGTTTCCAAGAGTTCAAATAAACTTCATAACGGTCGATATAAGGTTCGAGAATACTGTAATGGACACAAGAACGCATCCAAGTATTGACTGCAATAGTGACCACGTACCAATGATATAAAATCTGAGAATAAAAATGTAAGTCACAAACAAGAAAGACAATTTACTAGACTTATCCCAACTGAAGCAGACAGAAGTTATAGTGAGATTTACATACCAAAACTAGCAATTATTTTCAATACTCAAGAGATGAGAAGAAAGACAACACCCTCGGTGAAGAGCAAAAAGTTTGAGGAGACGTTTAACAGTATATCAACGTGCAGGGTAGCTCAAAATACAGTGAGATGGAAAGCAAGAAATAAGATATAATTATGGATGACTGAGGGAGTACTAAAAGTGACGCAAAGAGATGGACAAAAAACACGAGAGGAATGTATAAAAGCTAAAGATACATGGTGAAACCTGAACTGTGTAAAGCCATGAGAGGGTAAGGGAGATGACAAGTAAAACAAAAAGCAAGGAAATAAATACATCAAGGACAGGAATGTTGATATGCTAGTTGACATCAAAGAGAGATCGAAAGAATATATCCAAGAGCAGTGTGAATACGACAAAGAAAAAGAGAGCAGTGTAACAAGGAAGGCTCTGAAACATTGAAGAAGACAGTAAGAAACACAATAAATATTATGAAAAAACGGACAGGTAACAGGAAACGGTGCAACAGGTACGAAAGTGTTGAAAGGTTGGCGTTAAGAGGACTAGTAACTTATGCAACATGTTTTACAGCACCAGATGTATATCATGTGAATTACAGAAATCTGTATTGTAGCAATACCAGAAACATTAAAAGCAACAAAATGTTTAGACCTTTGAACGATAAGACTGATGAGCCATGTTTCAAAACTTTGCTATGAACCATTCTTGTGGGAAATAGTAAAAAAAGAAGGTAGATAACAGTATGTACGAAAAGATTAGTTTGTACTTCAAGACTAATGTGGTACATGTAAAGGAATCAGTTATGAAACATTTGTAAACGTAAATACAGACGATACATATAATACATAACAAGCTTTAACTAACACTGCATAATAAAACAAAGTCTCCAGGGCACAGATGTCGTAAAATATGTGTCCTGGTGACTCTGTTTTGTTGTGCAGCGTTTCGGTTAAGCCTTGTTTTATATTATAAACATGGCCTATTTAATCAAAGCTTTGGTCTTGCTATTTGTAATTCAGTCATTCCTTTTTTGATGTAAATACTAATTTAGTTATTTAGATAATGTTTATGTTTACATTATATATGCGTTGCATTAACTACGAAAAGGCGTTCGATAAAGATAAAGCCCAAAGAATTGAAAATAGTTGTTAACATCAAGAGGAGCGTACGACAAGGATGTGTGTTGTAACCAAGTCTTTAGTTTATATTCAGAACTCATCGTTAGTGTACTAGATAAAGAAAATGACTTAGAATTTGGAGGAAGAGTGATCAGTAGCCTACGGTATGCAATAGACTAATGGGAAACAGTATTAGAGATCTACAAGCAATGCGAGTAAGATGAAAGTGATGGTTGTGTCAAATATGAAATAAATCTCAAGAGTAAGAATGAGAGAGAACGAAGACATATTGACATAGGTAGATCCGTTTCTTTCTCTACTCACAGAAGACGGAAGATGCCAGAGGGAAACAGGAATAGCTGAGATAGCAAAATCTATTTTCAACAGTATGCATATTAACATACAAGAAAATTGCCACATAAATCATAATAAGAACCATGAATTACTAAGGTCCATCCTCTGATATGGATCAGAAGTATCGACGATATATCTAAGACAAGAGCAGAGGATTTCGAAGTGTGGTGCATAAAAAGAATGATGAGAATCAGCTGGACGGAGAAACTAAGAAATTATGCAACAGTGGAAAACCAGGGATGTCGACAATGCTACTTGACACCATCAAACACAGAAAGCTGTGGTATTGCTGACAAATCATAAGATATAAATATCTACAGAAAGATCTCTTCTATGCTAAGGTGGATAGTAAGAGTATGGAGAGAGGAGTAAGAATATGAAAGAATAGGCTTAGATGGCCTGGAGCAGTACCGGAGTGCAGCAAGGGAAAAGAAACAGTGAAAGAGAATGATCGCTAACTTCTGTGAAGTGAACAAATTGACTGACTGATAAAATGATACATTTAAAGAAACTCATTCTTGCACGTCTTTTTAATCTAAAAACTTCAACTTTGTGTTATTTGACTTTCTTGTTTTTTTAGTCCTGATGAAAGAAAGTCTACAATCGGAAAGTGCTTGATTTGTCATGTCTGTTTGGCTCCACGTAAACTTACGTGGTGTGGTCACGTAGTTAAAGAAACCAAAACTTATATAATTTTGTAGACCAAAAAAGTAGGAATATATTAGTTTTATGGAAACCTGAGAGGCACAGCTTGAATTCCAATGTCATTTTTTAATATATACTAACAAGCACATCAAGGCAATAATTCGTTATAACAACAAACACAGCTAAAACGCCCTCGCAAAAGTTTATTTTTTAAAAATAAACAATAATTGTAAATATACATGCGAATATAAGCAAAAAATATAATCAAACTTCGTCCCTTATTTTGGCATTAACTTGGTATATGTCAAGACTTGTTCTCCCATGTGAATATCATAATTACGAAAAGACTGTTACAGTTTCTTCTTAAGAATAGTCTAAGTAATCGAAGTCGTTTTGGTTAAAAATACACTCGAAGAAAAAAATATTTCATGTGAATAAAACATTAAAGCTTTTCTGCAAATAAAAAGTTTCCTTAAACATGCTTATGTAGTTAAATGTCACATATGCATTATCTGTGCTACAAAACAACAACCTCTAGATAAACTAATAACACGGAGCTAAAACGCTCTTTAAAGTTAGCATTAAGAAATATTAGATTTCTAGCACCAATATACTAGACAGCCCCAAGAAGGAACTCTAAGTGGAAAAGTAAACTCACAGCATTCGCAAGGATCCCAGCTCGACAAAGGAGTCATTATTTATACACGTTAGATGGTTACTTGGTAGCAATCTGAAATGGGTATCCACGTGGTTAGAAAGGAACTTCAGCATTACAGAAACAAACAATGCGTGAACTAGGCTGACACAAAGCATGCTATTTGACTTAGCCTTTTCTTTACGTTAGCAATAAAACATACAATGAACTCGAGAATACCTTTACTAGATTAACAGTCTGCCTTAAGATAAAAGGCAACTTTATAGCAGTCAACAGTATTTTTACCAAAACCTCATTTCGTAGTACCTTAGTTGTTTAAAACAAATCACTTGACAGTAAGTAAGTACTCAGGTAAGCAATATCAACGTACTCACACTAATATAATTTCTAAATGTACTGTAGAATAAATAAGTAAGCCACAGAGAGATAATGTCAGTTTATATTATCTGCATAGTCAGTTTAATATGCCTGATTACTTAATATTATTTAGTAGTGTCTTCAAGAGTAAACCAATGGTATTAGTATTTTCAACTTAAACGGCACCTTATATGGCCTTGGCCTAACCAGTTAGGCCACAGACCCCTAGAGTTCAGCTATAGCCGTCCTTATCTTTAAACCGTTGTCCAGAGGGTGGGTAGCCAGTCAGTAGCACCCGCCGCCATAAGGACTTTGGCTGTTTGTTGGAAAGGAATAACAGGATTGTTAATCACTTTTATAACACGTCCCGAGCTGAAAGCACATGCACGGTCCACGTGGTACTTGTCAGTTAATATTACTTGGTCATATGTTGTATGATCAATTTGGTAGTGTAGAGTGTACTTGTCAATTAATATTATTTGGGCATTTGGTAGTGCAGATTGTACTTGTCAGTTAATATTACTTGGTCATATGTTGTATGGTAATTTGGTAGTGTAGAGTGTACTTGTCAGTTAATATTACTTGGTCATATGTTGTATGGTAATTTGGTAGTGTAGAGTGTACTTATCAGTTAATATTACTTGGTCATATAT